TTTGCGCAACGCTGCAAATTTCAAAATAAAGTTATGCTTAACATCGGCTGCGCATTTCAATTATGACTTCAATCGAAACACGAATAGCACTTGGTGTGAAGAAAACCTTTTAGCATCAGAGCCATATTTTTGATCTGGAGTTTATTTCGAAGCGGATGAGAAATTCCTAATTGAATGACAGAAACCGCACTTCTCCGAAAGTCCAATCGATTAATCATGGCCGGGTGTCGCATAAATTTTGTAGCTACCAGACCTCCCAACCGTGAAATAACCTGTGAACACGCAGGCCGAATGTGTAAATCTGCTACAATCCAGGGAAACGCACTTGTCAGGAAATGCGCACAGTGCTAAAAAGGTGAAACACAAAGGTTTTCATAGGTTTTTGTTTACCGAATGAGGCTGAATATTCATATGTCGTCTTATAATGGACAATCATCGTAATCTCATACTTATAATCTGAACTTCAATGGAGACGCTATGTGCAAACTCGGTCTAGTGATATTTATTTGTCAGCCAGGTTCTAACTTGCTGCAGGAATATGTCAATGAATTCATTGAAATCTCCGCAATTGCAATCATAATTTCTGCTTGAAAAATATGCTAGTGCAAGGATTTGCATGTATAATGACTCAGCACACTATAGCGAAAAATCACATGACTAGCTGAAAACGAAATAACTAGTTTTTAGCAATTCTGCCTATTCGCACTATGTGCTTTTAGCTTATAAATAATAGTAAAGCACCTTTATTTTTCATTTTCGGCGTGATACAGTAAATGCACAGTCTCAATAGAATAAGTAAACAAAGTAGCGCATTCTCTTCAATTCAGGGTTAAAAAGCATTGGAATTCAGTGCACCGCTGGTGCTGTTGAAAATTGCTGTGAGAGCAATATGACCGAACTAAGAATATTCATGCTTCTTGCAAGAAGAATCAACACTACCTCGAATCAAATTATAACAAGCAGTGATATAGTAAGTACTTAAGTGATTCCTTCCTCTTTGTAACTTGAACCTTCACCTCACTTTTAAGATCACGTTCGGAAACGGTATAAGAGAGGCATACGGCCTTGACGCCGAGGAATGTAGAAACTATATCCTCATCCTTGGAGTTGAACTCGCAAAAGAAATCTATGTATGGGTACGTCGCTCATTGTCCATATAAATTTTCCTACAGCTCTGTTTGAATTCTCGTGACTTTTAGGGGTGATCGCTAGATATCCAAAGCCAGTTTTTGGCATCACGAAAATAGAATGTTGTAAAAAAATCTTGAACTAGAATAATTTTGGAGGAGTTTTTGGGCTAAAATAAGCATCACTGAAATTTTTGCCTTCGGCGACAAAACAATCATCGATGTACAGCCATAATCGTTCACACAGCTCACTTCCGAGAGACTTTCCACACTTGCTCTACATCAATTCTACTGTTGAATATCCATCTTAGTAATTTTAGTAATTGAGTCTGAAGGCACTTTATTTTGAGTTGCCTCATAATTTCTTTCGTGTAATTGTTTTATATAAATCTCTTTCTATTTCGAGTCATATTATTGCTAAGAGGAGGTGGCATGTTGGATGATACTCCAGTAGCTTTGGCTAGGCGCTTGGATATAGTAGTAGCCCAGTCGTTCAACATCTAAGTGAAATGGACTACTCCAAAGTGCTCTCGATGGACATTTCATGTACTGACCGACACCACTTCACATTGCAAAATCGACTCGCCACAGTTTGGAGGTATTGGGCCTGGGCCACGGTATCACATCCATCTCATAGCTCTGATATTGCTCTATTGGTTATCATCTCTTTATTACCCTGTTACACCACTTGCAGGTGACAAATTTTTGAAGATTGCCATCGTCTCAAAAGTGACCTTATCGAGTTCTTTGATCGCCAGCTTTTTCCTTTCTGAAAGAAGGGTATCCAGTGTTTATCCGGCAGATGGTCGCTTGTTTTTGAGTACGATGGTTATTATACTGTGATTGATTGATTTCTTCAAGTAAATAATAATCGAATTAACAAAAAATGACCCAATGCAAAAGAATTTGTAAGTCATCCTACTGTTGATTATTCTATCAAAAATTGCCCAACTCCCTCCATAACCTTGTCATTGCAGTCACATATATGCAGTATACAGAAGACAAGGGATAAAAGTGCAAAAGTATAAAAGGTTGAAGGTGCCGGAGTTGTCTTTTCTCGAACAAAACTTTGTGCATTCGTTTTCATTAAGTGTCGTTACAGGCGACTGAGTGCATATGTTGTCTTTGCAATGACTCATGATGGCCTATCAATGTATCAAGTCAATGCTGTTCTAATGATCATGCCAACGGTCATGTACCAATTGCAGGCTACCCCTTCTAACACTGCTCTTCGCATACGTTCTTAAGGATTTTCCATGATTATTACCTGTTAAATACTAGTAAACATCTACAAAACTGAAGAAATCAGCAGCATTGTAGTGAGGAGGGGAGACATAGCTTTGAGTTGACATATAGTTTTTGATTGGAGCAATATAGATCTCTCTTGTAAGCAGCAGAAAAAGGAAAATAGATAAAGCTGTTGGCGTTGATCAATCTCTGAGAGATGCGTCATGCATTCGCCTTCAATTTCTAACCTCGTCCGAGGCGCTTGAAGGCATATCTTGCCTTCTACAATGACTCGCGGTAGCCCCTCACTAAACCAAGTCAATGCTGCTTATCCTCCAAGACAAGTCTGAGACCTGTCTGATACCAGTTCATCGACCCCGGAGGGATGGATGGCTTAGTGAGCCATGAGCGCGGGATCGAACCGTTGAACTCGCGTGTGACGCAGAAAACCTTTAACCACTGCGCAGCATACGCTCTCTGCAGCATAAGAAAGTGTTATTCGAAGTCGGGATTTTCGCACCTCTTACAGTAAAGTCGAATCATTCTTCCATTCTTGAAATACTGCCTACATAATCCATTTTCAAACAGCTTTATTGAACAATACGACACTTATATATTTGACGGCAATAAATGAATAATCGATATTATTCGCTGTACAAAAGTTTCCATAGAAGTGCTATTGAAAGTTCGAAAGCTCAAATCTTTGGCTACAGCGGTACGGGGTCGGTTTTTCAGAAAACCCTTTTATAACACTGTAAAATCCGACATAAAATTGCGTACCACACGAAAACGCATTTTTCTCCTAACTCGCAAATTTGCTAGGCAAACACTTTTCTAAGATTGCTGCTTCTCTTACGATAGTAGAATTCTCGGAAAACTCGAAAACGGGTCTGCTTTTTGGAAAACTTTGTTGATAACGCTGTAGGAAAACGAAGAGATTTGTGCTCTACATCTCGCAGGGCAGTGCTCTTTCTTTGGACTGTTACTGATCATTCAATAGGTAAGTTTGAGTGATTTCAACTCTGTTTATTTTCCGAAAAAGATCGGTTCACTGCACTGTATCAGGGAAAATAAATTCGAATTATACATATTCAACAAGCTTATTTACCCTGTAATCCAAGCGTTGGGGCGGGGCGATCGATCGATGATCTGAAGTGTTTGACAGTGGGATCCAACTTGTGAATTAGTTTGAAATTTTTTTCAGCTTCGAAAGAAATTTATCATAAAACGATGACTCAGTCATTAAGAAATTTTCTTACACGTGAGAAAACTGAAAGCGAGCGGAGCTTGTGAAATATAACTTCACTCTGAATGCTGCAGTGCTATAAAGAGGCCTCTCCAAAAAACGTTTACGTAAGGTTTCAGGCAGAGATCGGAGATTTCCAATGATTGCTAAGAATCCTATGAAAAATTCTTGTGCAGCGAATGAGGTCAAATATTCATTTATTGCCGTTCAACATATAAGTGCCAACAATTCTTGTGTCATATCAACATATAATCAGAAGCGTTACTAATTCACTGACCTAGCTGCATAGCATTGTTTTGAAGTTGGAAAAGAGATGTTTTTTTTGTTTAAATTATGCTAAGCGTCTAGTTTACTATTCAAGGCTTTCCTGTATATAGTTTCACCATCCCTGAACAAGATTAAGAGTTCTGTGAGGCATCGTGTGGCTGGCTGAAGCTCTACTCTTTTTCTTTCGGCAACTTTCCAATACATGGTCAAAACTTATGCACAGAAGTTTTCAAAATAACTCCGTGGTCTTGCGGCAAATACCTCGTAGTCTCTCATGACGTATTTTCCACAAAGTCGATATCTATCATAAAACTTGCACTCTTCTTTTTCTTCTGCGCATATTTTGCCGGAATATTTCTTATCCATTCAAAAGTCGAAGTTGGCGAGTCAAAGCGGTGAAAATCGCAACCATCTTAGTATCGAGAATTCTGAATGGCAGGAAGTCTCATCCACCTTTCGACTAAAATCCTTTGAAAAATCGGAAATTCTGAAATGGTAGGAGCCATAATGTAAAATGTTTGGTCCTTCGTGGATGATGTATTCTAGGAAATAAACAGAGAAGTGCTGAGATTTCGGCAGTATCCGGTTGGTGAGCGAACTAGATAAATAAAAGAATATGAAAGTGGAAACTGCTAAAGTTAGCATGGTTGTGCCCTCAATTAAGAATTTTTATGTTAGACAGGGTCCGACGTTGCACTTCCAGAGGATCGCATTAATATGTCCATAAATCTACATAAGAACATGTTTCTGGAAAAGAATTATATGCAAGGATTAAACAAAATTGTTGATGAAATTGGCGATGTGTTATTTGATCTCACTAAGGTGCGACTTTACAACTCATTATTTATTACCTTATTCATAACTACGAAAAGGACTAATTACACGTAATAAAGTAGAGTCTAAGTGGAAACAAGAACTCGTATTCTAATACCAACCTATTTGTGTCCTTGACTTGTTGAAGCTTGATTGCATAGAAGAATATTACAAGAAAAGATCATGGCTGAAAAATTATGCTAAAAGAAAGAATAGTGGCACACAAGCGGCAGTGATACGGATTCTGCTAAACCATGCTACCCTGTGGATGACATTATCATGTAGCATAACCTAGGAGAACTGCGTAGTATGCAAATCTGCGACATCAGGCGGGAGTCGAACCTTTGTTTCATCCATACCAGGGACGCGTGCTACCGCTACACCACCGAGTTACATTCGCTACACCACTCATTCTTCAAAATCTCTGTGTTATGCTATCACAATGGCTGTCAGCTCAACTGGGTTTATAAAGCGAAATCGCATACCTGATCAAACCTGTTCAAGGTTGGTGGCTGACAGCTAACATGGAGATGTTGAAGAATGAGTGGTGGCGCAAATGTACCTCGGTGGTGTAGTGGTAGCACGCGACCTCGGTATGGATGGAACGCGGGTTCGACTCCCGCCTGAGGTCGTGTTTTTGCTCTCAGTTCTCTTAGGTTCTCTTAGGTATGTATGAAACATCGTAACACTGCGAAAAATGTAGTATAAACATTAGAAATTTCGTGTAACATAACCGCTTTATCTTCATTCAGGATGCTTCTACGGCTGTCACTGTCAGCGATGGGACATTCAACAGCACTGTGAGTGAGTCTAATGGAAATACTACGGTTTTGTTGAAAGAGACGTTTTCGACGCCGATGTGAGTAATGCGCACATCTTGAACGTGCCTTACACTTTGAATTTTTTCACTCTCCAAATTAGCTTTTCGACAGTTGAGGTAAGACAGCATTTTATGAAGGCTGTTTTCTGACGAATGCGGTTAGTTAATCCTCACCTTTCACATCTGGAAATGGGTCTATGGAGCTCATTGTTCAGGAGACTTGAAGAGTTCCTGGTGTTTGAAGTGATTAATATACATAGAATTCGTGGCAGAATTTAGAACCTTTTTGACTTTGGTACATTAGTGGCTTACATACTTTTCGGCGGTATCGCCTGCTTCATCAGGACCTCTCGCCTCCCACTGAACCCTACATTTTACCAAGGATGGGGAGAAGTTATGGTGGCAGCACGTGTTGCTGTGTTATCACCATTTTTTTTCAGTCGATGGATCACAGGTGGTCATTAACGTACAGAAATCTTTCCAATCGGCTGTTTTCAAACCTTTCTGTAATTCATTTAATATAGTTTATGAGGATATTTGAAGCCTTTGCGAGGTTTGTACGTCATTGGCTTAAAAAAATGTTTACATATTCACTACCAGCTGCAATTCATCGATTGTAATGCTGAGAACGCAATATCACGTGGTGTCATCGTAGCGTCTTCTCTTCTCTGCTATTAAATAGGGTTCAGTATGGAGCGTGCGGCTCTGATACGGCGGGCAATACCGTGAAACGTGGGTGAAGCACTGCCACGCCAATCTCAAAGAGGCTTCAAACATGCTCACAGACATATTAATGTTTATGGCGAGGCTTTAAAAAATAGTTGATTGCAAGGATGCACACATAGAAATGGTAGAGAAATGCGTAGAGAATTATCATGCGTAGAGTCAAACGTGTAAAAAAAAACAAAGTCAATCTACTATTTTGGCGAAAAATGAAGTAAATGTCTTTGCTTAAGGAACTTTCACGGCTGTAACACTATGCGGGCGTTCACTGTGCACTTCCAGTGTCATTTCAAATTTTTAACCAAACAGAAATTGTTGATGTGACTTTATCTTCTCTAATCTCTCCACAAAGCCACTACTCCTGATAATACAGTAGTTTTCGTGAGCACTCAGAAGCATGTTTGTCTAGGATCAATATTCTTCATGTTCTCAGCTTAGCGATAGTTTTACTCATAATCACCCCATAGCGCAGAATTGGTCGTAAAAGCTCTTAGCGAAAGAACAAAGTGAGACTCAGCTCATGAGGTATTCTTGAAGCGAGTAAGAATAGATTATAGATTGGCAACCAAGTATTCTCTCTCATACCGCACACATAACTATAATGGAATGCTACACGAGTTCGAACAGATATCCTTAGGGCATATTGAGAGGTTTGATTAAGCCCTCCAGCGCTTTGAGCATTTGATTCAGGTTTGATTAGAGTATACATGATTATTAGGCATTGAGTTATTTGTCATTAAACAAAAGCTGACATCTAGATAGCATCTCACTCATGGATTTGGAATTTGGCGCGCATGTATGAATATATGATATTATAATAATACGTATGTAATATAACAATTGTACAAGTGAGCGCAGTCATGTATGTATGAATATATGAATATCATATATTCATACATACATGACTGCGCTCACTTGTACAATTGTTATATTACATACGTATTATCTTAGTCAACTGTCTAATGCCTGGATTGTGGAAGTTGTTGCGGGGTCGCTTTCATGACTATGTCTACTCCGTCTGAAAAGCTACCCATGCTTTTTTGTATAGGTCTAGAGACACTGTGAGCCGCCTATACGTCGCAGCACAAGAAAGAAGTATAGATAACCAAAAGGAAACTTGCCTACTTGGATAATTGGAGGGTTCTGTCTTCACAAATTGTGTGGATCCCAACACATCCTCCATTCGTCTCTTCTTCTCGTAAATGCCGTCCATGGCAGTGGTTTATCCATTTTAGCATGGCCACTGGCGCGAGTCTCACACCATGATCTGTAGAATATTGACAGTTACGATTACAGCTGATGCGAATACAGATGTGAATACGGCTGATTAATTCTTCTAACGAACACGTCCGCTCAACGTGTAGGTAGTCGTCCTCGGGACGAGTGTATACTCGTGGCGTCCGCTCTACAGTTCGTTTCTCCCATCTCTCGTCTCTGATCTTCTTGCTATATGACCGGCCAATCTGTGCTTGTGATCAGAAGGAAAAGGCGACGGTATACGATTCAGCACAAATGGGAAACTTGTTGAGTAGTTTATTAGTGGAGCGACCACGAACAAAACCTTTACAATTACTTTTTTGGCCCATTTTATTGAATGACGCGGTTATAGGTGTTACAGGTGTTTGCGCATTTACTGCCGTGAATATCTTGTGTTAAACTAATAAAATGGCTTTCTGTTTTGGATTTGTCTCAATAAAGAAGTGAACTTTTCAATGAAGATTGCTCCAGAACTTCGTGTTTGAAATCTGACAGTTAGTTTTCAGCTGGTTGTACATCATCATGACCATAAGTGTGGTCATCTCAAGCGCCTCCTTCGTGTTTCTTACCGTTATTGTACGAAAGAACAACAAACGCGGCAAATTTTTGTCGTATCCAATAAAAATCTCAAATCCTCCGTTTATGTAAGTTTGCCAACAAGTAAATAATCTATCTTTATATTTGTTGAATCCGAATAGGGAATGATTTCATGTTAATCTTACTCTCAGCTTACAAATTTTCTAGATAATGTGACGTGGTTAAGCGCCTTTTGGGGCAGTGGTTAGAAACGTTGTGCAATCACACTTGATTACTATCTGAGCTAACTTGTCATATGGCCTGTTTAATGGGCTCTTGTGCAGCCCAATACACTAATTCTGACCTTGACAGTCTCGTCACTCGGGGAGAACTCTTGGTCTTTTAGCCAGTCCTCTGTGGGTGCTTCAGTACCCGCTCTAAGAGTAGGCGACGACGAACGATTTACACTACGCTGCTGACAAGTGAAAATCACTTCACCAGCAGTTTTGAGCACTCGATGACTCTTGTCTGGTACTTTGAAATATAATATAGCGTTCTTTTCGAGTGTTTTCTTAAGAGCACGCTCAAACTCCAACATATCTCACACTTGGTTGTTCAATCGAGCCAGCGTCCCAGTTAACCAAGCCCACCATCTTTTTAGGAAGGGATAAATTTGTTTGGCATACCTGGCAGAATAGCAGCGCACGGACGGGTAGGTTACCGAAAGTTATAGTACAGGCCAGATATGCATTCGACCACCTCTAGCGATGTGTAATGAAGTTGAATGCGTAATGTATCTCTCAAAGAAAGATCAACGCCGAGACCTTCATCCTTTATCATTTGTAGTGTAATCAATGTCGATAGATGTTCCGTTTGCCAGTGACGCCCACAATCTATGCAATTTGAAATTAGTGGGAAATCTCACACATAAAAGCTCACTTATAAACCGTAGGAAGGCGAACGCCCTGAGTGATAGAAGAATAGTTTCCACATGCAGTAGCTCCTGCTACCTATTTCAATAATAGGCCTGGATGCAAAAATAAATGTACAATATGCCTTGCAATCATTTCTGAGTCACGCATGTCAGTGGTCTGTCAATGAGGGCTGACTTATAAAGCCAGATACACGTGTTCGATCTTGCGATCTCTTCAGTCGGCCAGTTACCCTTTTTGGTGAGTTTTTCAGTGGACATAGAGTGTAAAACGTTCGTAGTCGCTAACTCTTAGTTTAGGGACTGGAGCTCCCACAGACATTAGCAAAAGACGAGAAAAAATAACTGCCCGACTGACGAAATCGCAAGATCGAACACGTATATCGGGGTCTATAAGTCAGCCTTCATTGACAGACCACTGACATGCGTGGCTCGGAAATGACTGCAAGGCATATTGAAATTTGAGCCATGGTCTTAAGAAAACACTCGAAACAATTGTACAATATTTTGTCAGAATTGAAAACATTTTATGGTCAAAGTCGGATTTTTAGCTGGCATTTCGGTGCACCTTCTTTCCTTCTTCTTCCTATTCTCGTTTTATAGCTTCACGATTGACACGGTGGTCATGATATCAAAGGAAGGATGAACGATGCAATACCGTTGGATGCTCAACCCCTGCTTGGCTTTTTTCCTTTTAATGATGTAAACCATTTGGTTGAGACATGAAAAGACGGGGCCAGATTGTAGAGAAATTAGAAAACTGTACTGTACACAACTCAATTCAAGCTCAACAGAAAAGCTTATAGAAAACGGATAATCTAAAGAACTCCTTATGACGGCAAGTTAAGTCTCTCTTTGAAGCAGTTCGCAAAAATGTCAAACTTTCCTGTCGAAAAAAAAAACCAGGTGCATACTTACAGATCGATAAACATCGAGAAAACTGGTATCAAGACGGACAGTGTCACCCGTTCGTCGTGTCTTGCTCGACAAATGAAAGGACACTGAGCTCGTTTCGAAGAGCCAATTCATTGCCAGCCGCCTATGAGGCTGTTTCGCTGAAGTTCCGCATAAAATGCATGGTCGCAAAATGTTACCGCATTGAACTCCCAGTTCAACTACCAGTTTTGCTTTACCAGCGAGACTCA